AAGTTACTCTTTAATTTTTGCTTCAAGAAGCAGGGATCAGTGACTACAGATCTCATACTATTAAGAATTCGTAGAAGGGAAATTTCATAATTAAATTGAAAGATTATTTTTAAATTTTTATTGAAGTATAGTTGATTTACAATGTTGTGTTAGTTTCAGGTATATAGAAAAGTGATATATATATATATATATATATATATATATACTTTTTTAGATTTTTCTCTATTATAGGTTATTACAAGATATTGAGTATAGCTCCCTGTGCTTTCCTTTAATCTTGACATTGGTAATTTGTATCTTAATGTCCTTAGCTATAAGTTTATCAGTTGTATTTGAAAAGACCAGTATTTTGCTTTCCATGATTTTCTCTGTTCATCTTGTATTTCACTGATTTCTGCTCTTTATAATTTTCTTCCTTCTATTTATATTGGGTTTATGTTGCTCTTCTTTTTCTGGTTTCTTAAGATGAGAATTTAGATAATTACTTTGAGATCTTTTTGTCTTTTCTAATATAAACACTTAAAGTGCTAAACTGTCCCCTAAGTGCTGCTTTACCTGCATGACACAAAGTTTGACACACTGTATCTTCATTATTGTTCAGGGAAAAATATTCTCTAATTCCCCTTGTGATTTCTTCTTCGATTCGTGAGTTATTTAGAAGTATGCTGCTTAGGGACTTCCCTGGTGGTCCAGTGGTTAAGACTTCACCTTCCAATGCTGGGGATGCAGGTTCGATCCCTGGTCGGGGAGCTAGGATCCCACATGCCTCAGGGCCAAAGGACCAAAACATAAAACAGAAGCAATACTGTAGCACAGTATTGCTTTAAAATTGGTCCACATTAAAAAATCTTAAAAAAAAAAAAAAGTATTTTGCTTAATTCCAAGTATTTGAGGATTTCCTAGTGATATTATTCTCAGTTGATCTCTATTTAATTCTTTTTTTTTTTTTTGGTATCGGAAAACATATCCTGTATGATTTTAATTTTTAAAAATCTGTTGTGACTTGTTTTATGGCCCAGTACTTAATCTATCTTAATGAACATCGCATGTACACTTGGAAAGAACATGTATTTTGTGGTTGTTGGGGGTACTGTTCTATAAATATCAATTAGGTCAGAATGGTTGATGGTGTTTGTGTCTTCTATATCTTTGCTGATATTTTATGTAGGTGTTCTATCAATTACTTAGAGAGGGTTACTGAAATCTTCATCTGTGATTGTGGAATTGTCTGTTTCTCCCTCTAATCTGTCCATTTCTGCTTTTTAAAAATACATTTGTGATTTTTAAAACTTCCTGATGAATTGACCTTTTTTTAAATTACTGTGCAATGTAATAATCTCACCAACATGGTATTATTTTCCCAACATCCTTTAGTTATCCTTTATAATTACTTTAAATTCTCCATAATACCACTTAGGTTTGAACTTTAAAGGATGCAGACCTCTAAATATCCTTTCCACTCGTACTAAAATGCCATTATCTCCTCCCAGCTCTTGCACACTGAAGATCCTAGATAGCTCTAAATTAATATTAAAGGAAGAATTGTTTAGTAAACTGTATGTATGTTGGCAAAATTTGTATTAACCTTTCTCACAGTTGCTGGGTTTTGTGATATTCCACACAGGCAGAGATTATTTGGGGCAAGTGGCTAACTACAGAATATTAAGTGGAGGGATCAATGTTGAGTGATTTTTTAAATGATCTATTTCAAGAGATACATCAGATTTCAAGTTGATCTCCAGGAAGTGGAGGGCTGAAAGTTAGTATGCATCGACACTAAAATTCAAGTAAATGACAACTAGAGACCACACACAGATTTCAATTTTTTACAGAAGAATTTAAAACATAGTCATTATTTCATTTCAGAGCAAATGAGGCAGAAACATCTCAGTTCTGAAACTATGACAGAGCATTTAGCAATATGACATTTACCCCTAGATGTTTACTATTATGTAGCTTTGATTTTCTAAATGTATTTGAATCATACAAATATCTACGTGCTTTTTTCCTCTCAGTTATTTGGGAAACTTCAAAAAGGGTAGTCACACCTAAAGCTTTTTAAGCATTTGGCTAGAATTTAATCTGAATAAACTGTGTTGTGAGCAACTACAGAAAAACATTTGTGGGCTTAAACAGCTCAGTGATCCCTACTGGTCCATAACTGTTCTAAATATCTGTAATTTTCAAAAGTTGTGTCAATGTACCTAAGAAAACTGTAAAGACAAAATAAAACATTGGGACCTGAGCACCTACTGTGGTTAACTACCCAAACCCACGGGGGCATTTTGGTAGAGAGCCACCTACAGAGCAAGCAAATCCAAACATGCACAGAGGGCCCACAAAGTAACAGCTGATTCCTCACAGTTATTAAATTTAATCTTCATAAAAACACTATGGTATTGTTGCATTCCTTTTGCAGATGTAGAACCAGGCTTTGAAAGATTAAGTGGCTCACCAAATGCGACATGGTCATAAGTGGTAGCTATGGGATTTGAACCTAGATCTCCTGACACTAGATGTGGTATTTGCTCTACTTTGCCAGAGAAACCTATAGATCAGGAGTTGGCAACCTTTTTCTGTAAAGGGCCAGATCCTTTAAGCTTTGCAAACCATATGGTCTCTTAACTCCGTTCTTGTAGTAAGTAAACAGTCATAGATAATATGTAAGTAAATGAGTCTAGCTGTGTTCCAATAAAACTTTATTTACAAAAACAGGTGGTGGACTGGTCCAGGGGTTGTGGCCCAGGGGTTTTGGCCCAGGGGTTGTGGTTTTCTGATCCCTGCTACAGATTAAAACATACAAGCAAACCATAAAAGAATTAGGCTCTAAAGTTTCTCATCTACTGACTTTCAGAGACATTTTCATTACTGCTCCCTTACTCTACTCAATGACACACAATAATTATGATTTCACTGTAAATTCATCTTCCAGTTCCTAGGTCTTCCACAGTGCCAACTTTCCTCTCTCTAACACAAATTCTAGCTTTGATGATGGTCACTTTACGGGAGTGATCAAAACCTTTTTTTTTAAACAGTGAGGACCAATGAAGGAAAACAGATTTTTTCCCCCTCTGCTCAGTAATAATACCTTTACTGGATCCCAAAATGAAAAAACAATTTCCTGCTTTACTGAATACATTTAAATGCTAATGAAAAATTGGTACTTCTTTTTAGTTATCAAAATGCTAACGTGGAGCAACAGAGTCATCTTTCTAATCTTCCATGTGCTTTAGGATTCAAAACATGTCTTTTTTTTTTTTTTTTTTTAGATGTTGGGGGTAAGAGTTTATTAATTAATTTATTTATTTTTGGCTGTGCTGGGTCTTCGTTTCTGTGTGAGGGCTTTCTCTAGTTGTAGCAAGCAGGGCCACTCTTCATTGCGGTGCGCGGGCCTCTCACTATTGCGGCCTCTCTTGTTGCAGAGCACAGGCTCCAGATGCGCAGGCTCAGTAGTTGTGGCTCACAGGCCTAGTTGCTCCGCGGCATGTGGGATCCTCCCAGACCAGGGCTCGAACCCATGTCCCCTGCATTAGCAGGCAGATTCTCAACGACTGCGCCACCAGGGAAGCCCAAAACATGTCTTCTTATACATTATTTCATTTATCTTTGAAGCAAACTCTGAAGTAGGTGTCATTATGGAGAAACTGATATTTACAGAGGTTAAGCGACTCACCCAGAGTCACAACTCCTTCTCTTCTGTGTAACACTAAAGAAGCAAGTACTGTGCTGGGTGCAAGGAAGGAGATAAATAAAATCACACTTCCTTGCCTTTCTCCTTATCCTCTTTGTTGATCCCTGGCCTCCACAAAAACCCACATACCTAGATAAGCAACTCTGAAAAGATTCTTCTCCTGATGGTTGCCCAGGTAGTTTTTTTTTCCCTTCAGGCCTCTGCCTTGTTTTTTTTTTGGCAGTACGCGGGCCTCTCACTGTTGCGGCCTCTCCCGTTGCGGAGCACAGGCTCCGGACGCGCAGGGTCAGCGGCCATGGCTCACGGGCCCAGCCGCTCCGCAGCATGTGGGATCTTCCCAGACCAGGGCGCAAACCCATGTCCTCTGCATTGGCAGGTGGATTCTTAACCACTGCGCCACCAGGGAAGCCCTGTTCTGTTTGTTTTGATGCTGAAATTATCATAGATTTAACTATGGAGCCCCTTCAAGCTGGCTCCTGTATTTTTTTTTTGCGGTACACGGGCCTCTCACTGTTGTGGCCTCTCCCGTTGCGGAGCACAGGCTCCGGATGCGCAGGCTCAGCGGCCATGGCTCACGGGCCCAGCCACTCTGCAGCATGTGGGATCTTCCCGGACCGGGGCACGAACCCGTGTCCCCTGCATCGGCAGGCGGACTCTCAACCACTGAGCCACCAGGGAAGCCCGCCTCTGCCTTGTTGAACTGAAAGCTGTATTTGAAAACAGATTGGACACTTTTCTGGAAAACCAAACAGGGCATGAAGCTCTCTGGTCTTGGGCTGTTCATCACCGCTTTATGAGATAATTCCCTCCAGCAACTCATCTACACTATTACAAATAAGCATTTTCAAAATTCAGTGTCAAGGTAGTTATTATTTTATTTACTACTGCTTCTGAAAGTTAGTTATATTCCCCAAATATATTCTGTAGTCTCTACTGCTTCTATCCCCTTTGAACTGATGTTATTTACTATATTCCTTCATCTGTCAATACTCCCTCTGCATATAGTCAGTCCCCTGTATCTACTGGCCTTTCTTCAACTAATTATAAAGTGTGTGATGTCTAAAGTGAGGTCCTTACTTGATCCATTGCATTACCTGGTCATAAACATTTCTTCAAGATCTGATATTAATTCTTGCAGATCCTGTTGATTTGCTAATTCATATAGCTGTCCTAATGTCTTCACTACGCACATTTGGTAGTTTAGGGCATTTTTCACTTCACGTAAGGATTTTTTTTTTTTTTTTTTAATTACAAGAAGATGGAGTCGCGCAGAGAGTCTGCTGAACTGAACTTTCTTAGCCCTACTTACCTCTGCAATCAGATCATGTAGCTCTCCTTCACTAGGGCAGCATCCTAATGACCTGATAATTGTTCCGATCTCTCTGGGGAAAAAAGCAGTCAATTGCTTTAGAATATAAACTCTGAAAAGACAAGTGCTATATTTCTCTAAATTATTTCAGAGCAGATGTAGCATAGCAAACAAAGTCATACAATAAATATTGCCTCAAGAGGATGGAAGGTACTTTTTGAGGAAAGGAAAAGGCAGACAAGTGAACCCAAGAGAGAAGAAAGAAGGATCTGTGTTGACTGGGAAGTGCAAGCCCTGCCTGGGCCCAAATCAAAAAGTTCTCGAAAAGGAAAAGAAAGGAGGGAGAAATAAGAAAAAGAAAGGTCAGCCACTTACTGACTGGCTTTAAGTGTTAGTTAATTCTTTTGAGCCTCAGTTTCCACATCTGTAAAATGAGGATGATAATTTCTAACGTGGTGAAGTCTACATTAGTGGCAGAGAACCTAAAAGCATGAGCTCTAGTGGCAGACTGCTAGGGTTCAAACTCCAGCCCTGCAATTTACTAGACTGGGCAGGTTAATCCCTGTGCACATAATCCTGCCTGGGAGGTAAAACCCAGTACCTCCCTTGAAATCCTCAGAACTGGACTGGGAGGGGCTAAGGGCAAAGAGCCATCGTAACATAAGCACAGCTTTCGGCAGAGCAGCCACCCAGTGAATATCAGCTACTCCCCACCCCGCCCCATGGTAATTTAATTCAATTCAACAAATAGCCTAAGGAAAGTAGAATTATATTCAGCACTCCCTGGGTGCTGAGACAGAGGATTTATAATAGATTGTTAAATATTTCCACTTAAAATGATTAAAAGGTTGTGACATTTTGAATGTTAATTTCGCAAATATTCACTTAACTAGAATATTTAGCTTCTTTACCATTCTGGCTAATATTGGTGGTGTTATGTTTGCTGACTATTTTACTGAGAAAATATTTTAAATAAGAATTTTTAAGTTCTTTACTTAAGGAAGCTGCAGGATGAGTATCAACTTAAGAGAAAAACCTAAAGTCAGTAACTGTGGAAGACAGGATTCTCGACGTTCACTGATTGATCTGAAGGCCAGCTAAACACGTAAGGTCTTCACACCAACTCTATTTCACATCTCCCTGAGCACCTTAGGCTCAACACCTCTGCACTGCTTTTCCTGCCCACAGCCCTCATTGAGGCAGAATCTGAACATGATGCTACTACTGCACACCAAAAATATTTTATGAGATTATACTTTCTCTCTAGAAGCCCCTAAAGATGACCCATGAAACTGGCCAACACCAATGTAGTAATGTTCTTGTAACATCAGACGGGGCTATTGCATACATTAGAACAAACAGTTAATGAGGCAGGGGCAAAAAATATAATTTGAGAAGTATTCACAGATTTATCCCCTCCGTAACCTCCTAGGCCTTCTGTTCTTCGAATCAGAGAACTGCTTCAACTCCAGACGCAGAAGGACAAGAATAAAGGCTTCCTTAACTCACAGAAACAAAGGGAGGGTAAGGAAGGGAGATGGGAAAGGCCTGAACGCCCTTGCAGGTTAGAAATCTCAGGGAGGTGGGATGGGGAAAAAGAGAAATTTCAGGCCTGAGACGTGCAGTACCGTAGCTACTACCTCCATCTGGCTATGGGGCACTAGCAATGTGACTAATCCAGACTGAAATGGGCTCTAAGTAAAAAATATACATGGACTTCAAAAACTCAGTGTGAAAAAAATGTAAAGTATCTCATTAAAAATTTTTAATCAATTACATGTGGAAATCATAATATTTTAGACATATCAGTTAAATAAAACATATTGTTAAAATGCCCTTTCTTTTACTTCTTTAAAATATGGTTGCTAGAAAATTTTAAATTAGATGTGTAATACTCCTTTGATGGTACTTTTCTAGGCAATAGCTGCCATCATGTTCACACTTTGCAAAGACAAGTACAGTACATAAAGAGAACATTAGAATTACAGTGTGCTGTGTCAGCAACATAATCAATCCCCTCCTTGTGCTGCTCTGAGAAACTTTCAACCTTATTTATTTATTGGCCGCACCTCGCAGCATGTGGGATTTTAGTTCCCCGACCAGGGGTTGAACCCGTGCCCCCTGCAGTGGAAGCGTGGAGTCTTAAACCACAGGACCACCAGGGAAGTCCCTCAACCATACTTAAATGAAGTCCTTTGTCGCTGACCCAGGTCTCATGTCTTCTGCCAACATCTATGAAACAGTAACAGACTAACTTACTAGCTTTCAAGGGGGATAAAAGCAAACCATAGACTTGACATGTATAAGGATGCACAGGAGAAAATCTGGGCTGGAAGCACAGATCTGGTAACAAAGCCATGGGAGCAGAAGAGCTCCTCTAGGAAGAGTATCCCGGCTGGAAGAGATGACGAGCCAGGAAGAGCTCAGAGGAGTACTTACACTGACACAATGGTCTAGTCCCCACACTAGACACAGGGAAGAGGAGCCAGGGGGTAAAAGCAGAAATTCAGGACAGGGTGGTGTCATGGAAGCTAAGGAAAGAGATGGACAAATTGAGTCATCTTTGGCGTCAAATGCTGCTGGGAGGTCGAGTAAGACAAGTTCTGAGAAATGTCCACTGGATATAGTGAAGAAGGAAATCAGTTCTGATTTTTTTGTTTTTGTTTGTTTTGTTTTTGATTTATTTTATTTTTTTTTTTTGCGGTATGCGGGCCTCTCACTGTTGTGGCCTCTCCCGTTGCGGAGCACAGGCTCCGGGCGCGCAGGCTCAGCGGCCATGGCTCACGGGCACAGCCGCTCCGCGGCATGTGGGACCTTCCCGGACCAGGGCACGAACCCGTGTCCCCTGCATCGGCAGGCGGACTCTCAACCACTGCACCACCAGGGAAGCCCAGTTCTGATTTTTGATCAAGGATGTTTCACTTGAAAGTGGGAGAGAAATCAGATTGCACTGGGTTGAGGTAGATGGATCTATAAAGTGAAGGGGAAGAAGAGATGTCTGGAGGGGGACATGGTGTCAAGGAAGATTTTTTTTTAATTTAAGACCAGAAAAAGGTGAGCATGTTTTAATACCAATGGGAATGAGCCAGTGCAAAGTAGAAGGCTGATGAGGGCACCGTCGACTGAGCAGGTGGGCTTCCAGAGGAGGTGGGAAGGGCTGGGCCAGGTGCTTAGTGCTGTGTCCACACAGCCATCCGATCTGAGGTCCTGCCACCAGCAAGTTGCGACCTGTGAGAGGGTGGCAGGATCCTCCTCGCAGCCTTAGAAAATTTTACTCTATCCCTCTTTCTACCTCCCTTTGAAGAACCTATCACCATCTTCTGTTCTTCTGAGTGCATCTAGCTGGATTGTCACACTCTGCCTATGCAGACCACAGAAAACAAAGCCTAATGATGTCCTCTAAGCATCAAGACACTTCCTTCTCTCTACTCCTGAAACACAAAGGCCTGATGATGTAAGAGAAAAGGGCAAAGACCCTTCAGCTGATGCGTCCCCAGTGGCCTAAAGAACAGTACAAAACTCAAGAGCTCACCTGCACACAACCGACAGGTCTGCTAGCTCACCCACCCTGCCTCCTGTGGAAAGCTAACCTCTTCCTCTGTGCTCCGGGGCTCTGGAAGCTGAACTTGGCACAGAGGAAGGCGATGCTACCCCCGCCTTCAGTCCTCGACATCTCAGCAGTACAGTGATCTTCCTTCTCCTCGTTTATCCTAAAGACTGCATCAGCCTTGGGATCCCGGTGCAACATGAGAGAGAAGAAGGAGAAGCCGACGAACGGCTAATGTTGACCTTTTCCTCGTCTTGGCACATGGGAAAATGGAATTTGATTAGATTTAGAAAAATACAGAAATGTGACACATCTTTGTCCTCTACTTCATATCTGTAAGCCTAGTTTGTGGCTGGGAGTGGGATATGAAGGCCTGCCTCGCCTCTGTGTGGAAAGGCAAGGTCCTCTGCCAAGAGTGAACGGGGAGGCACGGGCTCTTATCTGCCACTCACCACCACGACCTGCCTCTCTAGGCACCCGTTTTCCAGATGGCGAGCCCGGCCCTCGCTCCCACACTCTAAAGCCTGTGCTTCACCGGCTCTGCTGCATATTCTCTGTGTGCCTCTCCAGAACCCCTCTCCATTCTTCCCCTGCTCCACTCCCTGAGGGCCTAACCTCCTACTGCACCGGCTCCCTTGGCCCCAGGCTTCCGGTTGCAGCTGTCCAACTCAAGGCAGAGCATTGCAGGTTTCCGTTGCTGGGTCACATGCTGCCCAAGACATAGGGGCTTAAACAACGAGTTTTTATTTTTCATAATTCTGTGGGTTGGCTGGACGGTTCCTCCACTGGTTTCCCCTGGGCTCACTCACACAGCTGTGTTTAGCAATTAATTAACCTACACATATGGTTGTTCAATATTCTATAGTCAACCATTCGAAATTACCATTACCACCATCCTGGATTCTGGGCCCCTTAACTTCCATCCTGCCTGCTCTAATGATCCATAACCCTGAGCATCTCTAACTTTTACTTTCCTGTTCCTGCAAAGCACTGCTGGAAGAAAATAATTAACAGAAAACAAAACAACCATAGCCCACTACAAATTCATGCTATCAAGCATCAAGTGTCCTGGACGTCGCCTGACAATCCTTTCTTTCATCTCCTTTTGATTCCCTAGAAAACGCCTCCCAAAACAGCTCTTCTGAGGGCTCTCTTGCCTCAAGCTCCAAAGCACTGACTCCCTTAATCTCAGCAGAAAACCTGTCACCTCCTTCACTGAACAGATGAAAACTGCTAAGGCTGGCACCATCACCAACCCTCCGACCACCTGCTCAGTCAGCTCAGGCTGCTCTAACAACACACCACAGACTAGGTGGCTTAAACCACAAACATTTATTTCTCATAGTTCTGGAGGCCTGAAGTCTGAGATTGAGGCACCAGCGGATTCGGGGTCTGGTGACCGCCCTCTTCCAGGCTTGCAGACAGCCACCTTCTTGCTGTGTCCTCACAGGGTGGGAGGAGAGGAGAGCAGGCTCTGGTCTCCCTCTTCTTCTGGGGGCCCTGATCCCATCATGGGGGCTCCACTC